CCCCAAAACCCCAAAACCCCAAAACCCCAAAACCCCTTTATGAGGAACAAGAATTGAAACTTAGTAAAATTTTAAATAAAGCAATGCTGGATATGGTTATCGGTCCTCTGGACTCATGAGTTGAAATCCTTGCTGGGAACATTGGGCTAAGAGTAGTGGAAACCAGGCTTTTAATCTGATATATCCTTGGGTATTTGACTGCCTTTGGATTTAAATTAAGGTAAGAATGCTACCAAAAAGTAGAAATTTCTAGAAATTTTAGTCAAGATCTTTTGGTGAATACCGAATTGGTCTCGTACTTTTCTCAATTAATATTCATCTATTTCATTTATCAGACTCTGATCTAGTTGTATAATTTTGATCGAACTCTAAAAGGGTTTAGCTAATGGTGATGAACGTAGATTTGGACTTGGTAGAACTTTAGTTTTGGCTGTTTGTCCAATAATGACGTAAGTATAGATTTATGAATATGCATCTGTATTCTATAGTAACAGGACTCTTCATTCAGTATTTCATCTACAGAGAACACATAGTATTTATCTATATTATGCTGCTCATCACAAAAATCTCGATGCACGTAATAGAGAGGGAGAAGCAACCCTGGATCATATTTGTACTCAATTTAGGCATATCTTCTGTATATTTGATCGGAGAATCTTATTTAAACTATGGAGAAGTCGTAGTGAACTTCACTTATAATACAATCATTCTCTGTCAGAAACTTTCTACGCTAGGGTTCTGCTACAGAGACGGAGATCCAAAGTATAATAATACGCTCAGCAAGCATGACGAGAGGTGCAGAATTGAGAAAATTCCAACCATTGTAGAGTTTCTAAGCTATAGCAATTACCCCTGAATTACAATGTTAGGACCATTCTTTGAATTTAAGGATTACATAAATTTCATCGACCAAAAAGGTGCTTATGCTGATCCTCCTTTTCATTTCTTAAAGTCCTTGCTAAAGTTCTCTACAGGGTTTATCTTTCTAGGAGTATCGATCTACTTGGACGGTGTGGTGTACTTAGACTTCATGGTCTCAAAAGAATTTGGACAGCTGAATTTTCTAACCCAGACTGTATACTGCTTCCTTTACATGAAGAGCTATGCTTATAAATTATTAGCCATTTTCTCATTCGCAGACGGATCTAATATTCTTAGTGGTTTCAGCTATGGAGGCAAGGATGAGAAAGGAAATCATAAGAATGATAGAAACGTCGCCTGTGATATAGTCATGGTCGAGACCAGTTCCAATCTCAGGGATATATACAATAGCTGGAATGTTCAGGTCTCTCTGTGGTTAAGATATTATGTCTACGTGAAATTTGATGATAAAGATAGCAAAAGCAACATGAAAGCAACATTTGCAGTCTTCTTTGCTTCTGCTCTTTGGCATGGCCCCTATCCTTCGAACTATCTGTTTTTCTTGTTTGCATTCATAGGGTTGTCGACCTCCAGGATGATTTTTAAACAAGGGTGGATATTTAGCTTCATCCCTTACATTTTTAAAAGGATTCTTGGGTGGATTCTTTCATGGATGTTTTTGTCAAACTTAGCAGCGTTATTTCTAATGAGAACTGGAGCCAACATGCTAATATTAATGGGAAATACTAGGTGCATAAGTTTGGTTCTTGTTGCTGCTTTCTATCTAGTTTTCTCTGTTATTAGTGCTGTTACTCCTAAGTCAAAAGGTAAAGAAGGAAAGGAAAAGAAGAAAGTTGAATAATGGTATAATTTCAGCAATCATTTTAAAAGTTGGGGTTTTGGGGTTTTGGGGTTTTGGGGTTTTGGGGTTTTG